CTATCGTCCGCACACACCCTGTCACCGGCGAGAAGGCTTTGTTCATCAACCCTCAATGTGAGTTTGAACATCCCATACCATCTCCACTTGAATACTGATCATCATCTTAGTCACGCGCGAGATCGTTGGCCTCAAGAAGGAAGAGTCCGATGCTCTGCTCAAGTTCCTCTACGAACACATTGCTTGGGGCGCTGACTTCCATGCCCGCGTGAAGTGGGAGGAGGGCACTGTAGTTGTTTGGGATAACCGCGTCACTCAGCATTCAGCTCTTATTGACTGGAACAACGGTTCAAGAAGGCACTTGGCTAGAATCACACCACAGGCTGAGCGGCCGTATGAGACGCCCTTCAAGGGTTAGAGCGCTGCAGGGGTGAGGAGTTCTGTGTTGGGTACATCAAAGACTCATGCCGTCGGTAGAGACGAGCAAGCTTCTGAGCAATAGTCTGCAAGACCAGCCGTATGAGCCAGGTAGTTACGAAGGAAATGCCAAACTGATGATTGATTTTTACGTACTTGTGAATCGGATCCAACGCAAGTCAAAATGTACTTAGTGATTGACACCATGTGTGAACTCAAAAAATGTCTTCGTTGCCCATCGCTAGAGTTAGCCGGGAAATGATAACTGCGGAACATGCATTGTTACTTCTCTGAAGCTTATCAGCCAATTGCCTCAGTTGTGAGAGGAGAAACCTTCTTGTTCACTCCAATCCTGGTCCCGGGAAGATACCGAGTTCCTTTTTGCTGGTACCAACGTCTGAGACCTTTCCTTAACCCTTATCACCGTCAAATATCACTAGCGGATGATGAGATAGTTCCAGTATCCCAAATGAATGGTTAGCCCGATAGAGCTGAAGTATATTTTCCGAGCTATTTTGAACTTGGGGGCATTTTCTGCCCTTGACAAGCCACCGCTGAGGGCTGGAATCACACCGTCGGACCCAGACCTCTGGGTAAGACAAAGACCTTACGGCCTTTAATTAAGTATCTAGTCGTAGTAACGAACGATTGAGGCATTGGGTTGTAATCAATTCTTGGCGTCAAGTTGCACAGCCGATTTGAAGGGACCGCCGGAGGGGCTGGCAGTTGACGCGGGTTGTTTCTTTTGCTGTTATCTGATTGGCCAATCTCTCACACTTCGGCCCAAGAGTCTGTCGCAATCCCATGGCCCCCATCACGCAATAAATTCTCCAAGCCTTTTTCGTCAACAAACGTGTGGATGCTCATGCCGCTTGAGACACACAAGGCTCAATAGGGACGGGCATGGATTATCCTCGTTGTCGGCCGCACTATCCACATATGGTGATTGACTCGTCATCTTTGCGGCCTTGAGCAGCTCTTCTCAGTCGGCATCTAGACCCTCACACATCCACTCCCCCAATCACTCCCGGCAGTCCAGACGGGATTCCTTCCGCTTAGCTGAAGCCTCTGTAAAGTAAGCTTGAATTGGCTGTTTGTAGCGCGCTCCATGCCCCCAGGTAAGGGCCGCCGCCCAGCTATCGTCGACGACATTGAACATGGCCGGAGCCACCCCGGATCACACCCCCCACGCTGCCCAGCACAACTCGTTGGACCATTGACGTGCGGCGCAATCCAGTCAAGCAATTGCACCATAGATAAGAAGTTCTATTCGCTCAAGGGAGAAAATCGCCCATGAGGTGATTGCCTTGGATCATCGCGACACTGTAAAGGCTTTTCTGTCTCTGGAGAGCCCCTGTCATCTAATGTCGGGAAGGAGGTTTGAGATGGATCTGGTTTGAATACCACTACCAGATTGTCGGGTCCAAGGATGGAATGTATAAAGGTCTTTGCATCTCCGCGGACCGGACCATGCTCCCGGTACCTCTGTGTGGCTAGAGCTCAAAAGACTTCAACAGGACTCTGCATTCAACACGACAATTGGTTTGTCAATTGTTTGCCAGTCACGTCCAGCCATGGCCTCGAAAGCAGTTGAAGGTCCCCTCAGGGATTCGACTAAAGAGGTCAACACCATCCAGACCCAAGCTGCTACCGACACTTCAGCTTCGTCTTTGAAAGAGCAGGTCGCCCAGCAGTACGGGTCCACCGACGAACATGTCTTCTCAGATCCCAGCATCGCCGACCACTGGCGGAAGGTCTACGAAAAGGCTTCGTATGAGAACCGCCACCGTTTCGATCCCAACTACACATGGTCGGCCGAGGATGAGAGGAAGTTGGTCAGGAAGGTATACTTTTGTCCACCTGCGCATCGGAGTTAGTCAACACGGACTCAAGTGAATGCTAATTCGACTCGGCGTAGATTGATAGGAAAATCATGGTGTGGGCTTGGGTAAGAAATACATCCTTTGAGCATATTAATGATGGAATTAAGCTAACGGCATTGAAAGGTCATGTTCTGTGCTCTCGATTTGCACCGGCGAAACATTAATCGTGCAATCTCCGACAACATGGTAAGAAGTGAAAGGCGTAAACTACGGCAGTATTGAAGACGCTAACTCGCACACCAGCTTCCCGAGCTCGGCATGACCACGAACGATTTCAACTATGGACAAACTGTTAGTATCCGCATGCGACAAGATATCTTGTGAGGCTCATAGGCTTATGCATGGTCCAGATTTTCCTTCTATCATTCCTCGCTGCCGAGTTGCCAAGTGGTTTGGTCAGCAAGAAGCTTGGCGCCGATGTTTGGATCCCTTCGATCATGGTTGGCTGGTCAATTACGGCAGGATGCCAGGCTTTCTTGTCAAACCGTGCCGGCTTCTACGCTGTGAAGGCTCTGCTAGGTCTTCTCATGGGTGGATTCATCCCGTAATCTCTATCCTTTCCACCTTTGCTTTGAGAGCGCAAGGTACTAACTTAAAGCAGTGATATTGTTCTATGGCTTACATACTTCTACAAGTCTAATGAGTTGCCTCTGAGACTCGCATGGTTTTGGACAGCCCTCAGCACTGTCAATATCGTTGGCTCACTCGTCGCTGCTGGTGTACTTCAGATGCGAGGTGTCGCAGGATGGGCCGGTTGGAGATGGCTGTAAGTTTTTGTCGCAACCGGGGCTCTTTGTTCAAAACTGACTTTGGCTAGATTCCTTATCGAGGGTATCGTAACACTCATCATTGGTCTCTTCTCGTGGGGTCTCATGCCGCCCGGTCCTACGCAGACCAGGAACTGGTTCCGTGGGAAAGATGGATGGTTCACCGAACACGAAGAGCTGATTATGGTCAACCGTTTGCTGCGGGACGACCCAAGCAAAGGTGACATGCACAACCGGTATGGATACTCGTACTCTACGACTCTCACTGTGAACATCAACTAACTCACTGAGCAGCGAGGCTGTTGGACCGTCTCTTCTGTTCAAGGCGATCAAGGACTGGGAGCAGTGGCCTTTGTACCTGATCGGCCTTACCACCTATATCCCGCCGTCCCCGCCGAGCACATACTTGTCCTACATCCTGCGCCGACTGGGCTTCTCGACGTTCCAGGCCAATCTTCTCGCCATCCCATCACAGTTCTTGTTTGCCGTCAACCTCTTGATTATCTCTTGGGTTTCCGGAAAGTTCAAGGAGCGCGCCATCGTTTCCTCCATCTCAAATATCTGGATCTTCCCCTGGCTGGTTGCTCTCGTTGCACTCCCTGCCGATACCAGCACTTGGATCAGATATGCGCTGCTGACGGGCCTGCTGAGTTACCCTTACTGTCACGCGATCTTGGTCGGATGGAATGCCAAGAACAGCAATGCCGTGCGAACAAGAGCTGTTAGTGCCGCGCTGTACAACATGTTCGTTCAGGCGGGTAACATCGCGGCTTCTAACATCTACCGTGATGACGACCAGCCTCTGTATCGCCGTGGAAACAAAATTTTGCTCGGAATCTGCTGTTTCAACATTGTTCTGTTTTATTTTGTCAAGGCCTTCTATATCTGGCGGAACAAGGTTCGCGACAGGCGGTGGAACGCCATGACCAAGGAGCAACAGGAGGACTACTCTATCAACACCACGGACGAGGGACAGCAAAGACTTGACTTCCGTTTTGCGCATTGAGAAGCAAGGCACGTAGTTATTTTGTAATATTGTAAGGGTAGAGCATCTCCAGCGCCGCTGGCTAGAAATATTCGGGGACAAACTCTGATCTTGTCACTGGAGATACCATTCTTCAAGTAGAAGATAAGCCCGCGAAGAGAATTAGGACCTCGATCATCTTCCCAAGATCTTCCCATACGTAGAAAATTGTTTTGCTAAAGTAATTGTCTCAAATAAGAAATAATTGTAAATAAACGCCACGTAAATGGTGCTTTCTTGTTACGGTCTTTTCATCGAGAGGAGAGAAACTTGTCGACGTTATCTATTACTCCTGACGCGAAAGCAATTGACGGCTTGCTGACGGCTGTCGAAGGCCATGACTGCACCAATGCAACTAATGCGCGAGTTTATTGATTGGCACAATTGGATACGCTCAAACGGAATGAACTAAGTCAGCCAGCCAAGTGATCGACAAATGGTTATGCAACAGTTTGATGTGCCAGTCAATAAGGCCCGAGATTGACGGCGGCCTCGAAGGCTATGTGGTACACATAGGACTGAACAACTCTTTTACTCAATAACAATACTACCATCTGGAAACTTCTTGCTTCTTACGGAATCGAGTGTATTTTACTCACCGTCTACTTTGCTTTGCTCTTCTAGCTTTCGCCAAGCACAACAAAAACATCATCCAGCTCGGTCGACATGCTTCAGGCATCGCAATCTAACGGCAAATCAAGACTCTTTTATCGCGCTTACGAGGCAATCAAAGGCACAAAATATGACTTGTTTACGGTCGCAGCATTTCTTTTTGTCGAAATCCAGGCTATTGTCATCTACAGCCAAGTAAGACCCAGCGCATACGAGTGTCGCTCATCATTACAACTCATCGTCTCAGGATCAGCTTCTATGTGCTGGCCGTAATGCTGCCACTCATACCAGATTCGACACGTCGTAGCTGAATGGAGGGCGCCATCTGGTTGGTGTCTTTCTCATTCACACCTCTGCATGGGTTCTCTGCGGGTCTGCGCCAACAATGCCCAAGTCGACTACTACCACTACGAAGTTGTCCTTGATGCCTGCCCAAAGAACCACCCATGGCAGATTTCGGTCCGAGCTGCCATGTTTACAATGGCTGCGATGGTGCGAATACCACCGCTTTTCGGCCTATGTTCCAGCTTTGTGCTTTGCTTTTATCGGCGCAACCGCAAAGCGTGGCAGGTAACATGGCTTAAGAAGGTTGCCAAGGGAGCAGTCATTTCATATGCGACTTTCAACTTCATTTGTGTGTGGGGAGCCTGGCTAAGACTTGTTGTCTTTTTGGAAGCGCCAGTAAAGAAGACAGAAGATGCCTGGAGCCTGGGCCAAGCACTGCCATCACCGCTTGGACACCGGTCCTGGTGGAGTTCATAACCATCTTATGTCGTAAGTTTACCATCACCTCGCCGCGGTTTTATTACTTCTATGTGAAAGTCGGAGACGAGGTTGGGCATGCCAGTCGTTTTCCCATTGGGTTCAAGGAGGAGAATGTATTCTCCACCAGCAAGAAACAGATGGTCTCTTTGGCGAAGCAGGCGACTGCGCAACAAATGACCTCTGAAACTTGGCCCAGCGGCCAGTTCTTCCGCGGCCAATATTCTCCCATAATTTGATGATTGATAGGCGGCCAATAGACACATCGATGTCCAGTGAGACGGGGGTAGAAAGGTCCGTGGCACATCAGTTGAGTGGATCACGGATCCGTATCGGACCCATCATCGCGTCGCACTACCAACGACTACTCCATCTCGCAATGCAAACTTGATAGCACACGGTGAAATGCCATATGAATATTTGCTTTGGTGATCTAGGAATTTTACTAGTCATTGATCGTAGAGATATGACATTTACTTGCCAGAAAAACAGACATCATGTTAATTCCCCACTACATATTTGTCTTGGAAGTCCGGGCCTCTGAGTCCCAGCCAAAAGTTGCAAGAACTTATGAAGCGTAAAGATTGAGACTTCTCAAAAGATCATTGTGTTTTCTCTAACAAGGTATGATAACTAAGACCAACCTACCCTCAAAGCGTTAGCCAAACTACCTCACACATAAATGGTTTCAAGATATGATTAACTCACAAGTTTGAGCTCTCCGGTCTCATATCTTGTCCGAGACACGGCCATGAATAGGCTTGAGGTTGGCGCTGGTCCCGTCAACTACGACGATATCGCCTTTTTTAACCCCGTAGTCTACTCCAGCTGTCGCTCCTTTGGTGACTGTATCCTGAATTCGAGGTGGCCAGGTTTTCTTCCAAGGTTGGGACTTCGTAGGTTTCGAACAGTTCATCGTGATGGAATGTAGTAATAGCTTGATTGTCCGGGTTACTAGATGCTGTATGCCGTTTGATCTAACTTAAGTCTTGGAGGGGGCGTTCGGCTCCTTTGATCTCAAGATTATAAGGTGGTCATAGAACCTCGGGAAGCGGTTGCACGTAGCTTTTTCAATCGTTGGAGATGGTAAAGTATGTCCAATTTGAAGCTATGAATAAAGTTGAGACAATCTTGATCGTAAGGATGGATGTATTCTTTATGAATCTGGAGATGAAGTGGATCTATGGAAAGATTTTTCTCAGTCAGGCCGCGACTGACGCGAGAGGGCGGCAAGCGCAATTGGGAAGATTTCAAATACTTGACTGGCGTATCACTCGGAAGAGAGTAGCCTGAAGCTTCCTCAACATTCTGCAGGTGCTATCAGGCTACTCACACCGCTTGGCTCAAACTACTGCCGAGCAATGATGTGGCGGTCAGAGATAAAGATCCGCGGTATCATGGGTGGAAAATTACGTCCAACGAGCAACAACCCGATTGGCAACCCCAGTCATTGAATCAGCTGCGCTCCGTGTAAGCAATTGCGTCAAGAAATCCACGATATCATCAACTTCTCTCATATGTATGGATTTGTTGAAAACTTACCTAGTACACCGAACAGCTCGCAACCAAACCGGTCAAACGATCAACGGCCACACTTAAATGTCGTGAGTGAGGTGAATTACTTGTAGAGCCTAAAGTTTCCCGGGCACACCCATATTTTGAGCTGAATGAGCCACGCTTCGCTATAGCCATTATGACAAAATTGTTTCAGAGCGTCACTATGAGCTGACACGAACAGCACACGAAAAGCAGATTTCAGCCACAGATTAACGATCACAGGAACATTTTGGTGTACATGCTAGGTTGACCGAACGTCACACATAAGCAACATATGCTGACCTGGTGACCTGCAAGTCTCCTTAGGTTTAGTGGCTATCTGCATGTTTTACAAACCAAGAAGCCACGTAGATACAGCAAGGGGATAATGCGGTGTGTTGTGTTCTCAGTTGTCCGAAGTCGGAAGGATGGCTTCCACAACCTTCGAGTAAGCACCCGTTTCCTCACATGCAATTTCAACATAAATCCTAACCCCTCCAAAGTAACCGCCGGGGCTAATCAATTTGAGTGTTCGAAGCTGGCTTCCCACGTTCTACGACCTCAATCAAAATGGCATTGCCTTCGCCTTCATGTTTGACGGCGCAACTGCATTTTCTAGCTCGCAACCCCAAATACGAATACGAAAAGCCTTACACGCTTCGATATATCCCAAGCCCCAAAGACGGCCTTTCTCAGAGCAACATTGACCGAGTCCAACATGAAGTCAAGTTCAATGATCTGCGCCTTCGGTCCTTAGATTACAGCGAGTGTGGCTTCACAGTGACCGACTGCTCATCCACCCTGCAGTATGACGACTACGCAGACACCGATAAGATCGAGAAAATACATGCTCCAGAAGTCATGGTTGCGGTGAGACTGGCATTGGGAGCAACATCAGTTGACTTACTTGACTACGTGGTCAGTACTCACCTTGAGTCTGGAAAGTTGATAGACTAGTGAAGCAGGCTCTGGCTCACGCCTGCTCATGTACGACGTAGGTGCGCCGGCGAGATCCGAACTAGCCAATTGCAACAGGAAGTCTGTACGCCTTTAATCAGCCTGCCTCGAGGGCGCATATCGGTGAGCTGTCGTCTCCGAATACCCCGCCCCAAAGCCTTACTGACATTACCCCATACAGATCATACCTACGAAGGTGGCAGGGCCATCATTCAGGAAACCTTTGGTGGGGAGGCAGATGCAATATTGGCGCGACGCTGGCAGTGTGTCAAGTAAGCCTTAATTCTGTGCTCCTGTTCCCAACACAACATTCTCGCAAGCCTCGATATCCAGGCCTTGTCTAGCGTGTCACTAGCTTCCGTGGTTCCCGAAGCATATTTACCATCGACTCGGCTGCCCCGAGACTCTGCCACGTCTGTTTCTGCACAACATCACATATGGAACCACCCACATCATGCTGTGATTGGGCTGACAAGGTGGCTTGCAAGCGTGTGGCATCCTCTTCGAGGGCCTTTGGTCGATTGGCCTCTGGCATTGTGCGATGCCCAGACCGTCGACTTCGCACGGGATACGATGGCGGGCGATGTCGTCGATCGTGACCACGTTTTTGAGAATACGCAAGTTCATTTCAACGAAGGACAAAGATGGTTTTACCTCTCAAATCAGTTGCCGACAGAATTGCTGATCTTCAAGAACGCTGACTCGCAGGAGCCCCTGGGGGCGAATCCTGGGGTTCCCCATGCCTCTTTCGACAATCCCATCACAAGCAAAGGGGACTTCAGAAGGGAAAGCATTGAAATGCGTGTCTTGGTTCAATGGGACTGACGGAGAATACTGGCCTGTCCATACGGTTGTCCTAATCCAACTTCATATCCCCCCAATTAGTCTCGAAGTACTCTGAGAGCGGCTGCAAGATCTCGCGGTCTACATCTTCGGAGAAAGAATTCGCAGCCGTTGTGAGAGAAATTGCACCTGTTTCCCGAATTACCTCGCACATCAAGCATGCTTCTACCACAGCTTGATATGCCACACTGATGTCCTCTTGCAATATCTTCCGACCAAGAATAGTCAAAGCGGTATCATAGTCTCTCTCATCCTGACTATCTTCTCCAAGCCCCTCACCAATCGTGCTGCCAAATTTATGCAATTCTCTCCACCGAGATAGTCTCATTCCCAGCGCCAACTCGATCAATGCAAACCCTAGTCGAACAAGTAGTGGTTCTCGAAGAAATCGCCAGATTCTTGCTGGCTTTCCGGTTGAACTTCCCTCGGATGTTGGCGCAAAGATGGTGCGTGTCACGAATAGTTGGACCTCCCTGGAATTATCATCCTTGACCGAGAAATCCCTCCACGTCCACCACCTGTCAATCCAAGATGTTGACCAAAACTGCACAATCGCTAGAGCAAGCCTCTGTGCAATGTCGACACGCTTCTGGCGGGACAGCAGCCAATCCTCGGATTCTGGAAGCTTCTCATCGAGTGATATCACATGGTTGTCTGTCATCGCTGGCTCTATGTGGCGAGCTGCAAAATGTCTGTCGCCGTGACCAAGTGTACCAACTGTTTGATACGATCTCCGAGTGTTCGCGACGTTCTTATCTAGACTCTTCACCAGATCACACATATCGTCAATTTGCCTCCCGTTATCGTTGGATTCCGAGAGTGGCCGGTAGAATATGATTGGGAGTGCTCGAGTGGTTCTCCTTTCGTAAGAGCCACTGCTAGTGCTGTTGTGACGAGATCGAGACCATGATGTCCTAGCATCGTCATGACTTCCATACCGTCAGCTCCAGATACGATCAGTAGGAAGTAATCAGATACTCACCCTGGACTTCTGCTGAACTCCGTCCGTTCAGGTGTACCCACAATCTCGGGCGCTACAAATCGTCCCGACCTGTCCGAACCACCTTCAATCCCAATGTTGATGGCTGACACCCCCGGTATTATAGGAATCTGGGGCTCTAGGGAGGCTCCCGAAAAGGCCCTTCCGGTCTCGTCATCAACATGGAAATACACTTGGAACTGAGCGTCCCCGTTGATGTTGAGATCTGCATCGTGCCCACCTCTACAGCTACAATGATAGCTCTCTTCGAGAATCCGGGAGAATTCATTTATCTGTTTTGGTGCCACGCGTCTCGCTCTCATCATGTTTGGAGCCCGTCTCTTCCTGACTGAAGCTGGAGATTTCCATCTGGGCCTGTTTTGAGTCTGTTCAAAGACCTGAACGAGCTGCTGTAACTCCCTGTTGTGTTCTTTCAGCTTTTCGAATGATTTCTGAAATTCCGAGTGCGGCATGTTAATTCTTATCTGGTGAAAGTGATGCCTCATTCGGCCTCGCCTCGTGCCAGTCGCGGTCTATCCGGTCCCTTAGTTAGGGTGATTGTACTTGTTGAAGGATTCACATGGGCTCACAAGGTCTGCTTGGCCATTTTCAAGTTGGCTGCGTAGGCTTTCCATCGTTTTTTCGATCTGCTTCAGAACAGACTCCATCAACTCAAAGTCTCTTG